ACTCACTCACTCACTCACTCACTCACTCAATGACTTTCACACTCACTCACTCACTCACTCACTCACTCACTCACTCACTCACTCACTCACTCACTCACTCACGTATGATGCTACGAAAACAAAACTCATCAGTATCATTTGATAAAATTGACCCACTACATTGAGATGAGCAACACTTGATGTCACACACAGTGTTGTCAGATCTTGTGACAGAAACAAACAACCAGCTGTTTGAAAACAAGCCTAAAATAAGCCCAACTGCCCCCCCCCTCCACAGTGTATAAAATAGAGGTCAGTTATAACAGTACTGTATAAACGTATACATGTATTATTATGTTATACATAAGCAACAGCAAAATTATGATTAAAAATTACCATAAAATGATCAACTTTAATGGTTTGAATAATTTAAATTATTTTAATAACATATAAACTCATTAAACGTAAAAGTATAAGTAGTTTTTATATCAGTAAAAACTACTTCACTTATATCCAGAGGTAAAGAAGTAGTTTTTACTGATATTAAAAATAACTCTGGCTCATTTTGTTTTCTCTCGCTCAATTCATGCAATTTAATCAGCAAATTACAAACAAATTAAAACTTATTAATATTTTACTGTACTGTACTTGTATCCAGTGTAAGCAGTGTATTTTATTTATTTATTTATTGTCTGTGCACCACCTGTGTAAAATGTCCCAGTCCATTAAAAGGAGCGCACCAGTCCCCTCTGTGTTGTAGAAGCAGACACACATGTGTGCTGTATCAAGTCTCCTGTCATAAGTTCTGAACCGGACCGGACCGGACCGCACCATATATATTATATAAATACTAGTTACCTCATGACAGGCAGAATCACATCTCACGGCGCCGCCATATTGGATGGGGGTCTCTTCACTCCAGGCAGCACTGGTGCAAGACACTCTGCCCTTATTTGGTGCATTAATCTGAAGTTTTGAAAGCAGATGATTTGGGATTACCTTTTTATAAGTCAGACTGAACAATAGTTTTGATTAATTAACATTTATTTATGATATTTTATCATTGTAACTAATGTTATTTGTCAATCAACAAAAAGATAACAGCAGGAAGTGGTTGTCTTTATCTCTTCCTGGGTTGTTTCTTCACATGGACCTCCTGGTGACACAGAGACCGCTCCTTCAGACTCTGACAGGTCGGCTCAGACTGTCAGGATTACAGCTGATGTTAAAATGGAAATAAAACTTTAGTTTACACATACTGTGACTGCAGCACCTGCACACACAGTTAATAAAGGTTGTGTCACTATTTTACTATCTGTTTGGTATATTATGGGTTTGTTTTTTGTAAATGTACAAATTTCATTAATCTAAGTTAAATAATTTAACATTTAGGTACTTATGTAGTTTAATCAAACAATGTTGCATCATTTCGTATTAGGGTAATTATTTAGAGTGCACACACACACATAGTTAACATTTTGTAATAGAGTATTTTATCAGTTGCAGTATTTCAGGGCTGTGCAGTAAATGCTGTAGACAGCAGAAACTGTATAAAGTTGACCTACAGCAGAAATGTAGCCTCTACTGTCCTGTCATCATTACATCATCACACCTGTGTGAACAGGGCTGTGAGTGCAGACACACCTGAGCAGGAGATCAACATTTAATGAAGTAATTCTAGTGTTTTAAAACACATTTAGAGAGAATAAATCCTCAAAGTTACGTCGTGTCACTGAATCTTTTCCTCCCTCCTCCTGCTGCGCGTCACGCTGCGCGAAGCTTTAACTGCTGTGGTTTTTCACACCAAGCTGTCGGAGGAAAACTTGTTTTATGTATTGTTACTCACAGAGATGATAAAAAGATGTGGACCTTCGTTCAGTCATAAATCCATCTTGATAATGAAACAGTTCTGCTCTGATGATGAAGATGAGCGCAGCAGAGCAGCAGGCAGAAGGTCATTGTACGGCAGGCAGATGTTGCATTTATTTGGCTTCACCACACTTACACACACACACATTTATCTGAAATTGTGTTATGACAGGACTATGAGCAGCTTACAGTCCTGTCACACTGTAACATTTTAGGCAATGTTGATTTTTTTATGTCTAAATGACTAATTTTACTTGAAGTTCTGGTTATAACATCCACTTTATTTTGATGTTGAAAGATTGAAAAATGTTTTTTGTTGTTGTAACAGTTTTAGAATATATATATACACTCACCGGCCACTTTATTAGGTACACCTGTCCAACTGCTCGTTAACACTTAATTTCTAATCAGCCAATCACATGGCGGCAACTCAGTGCAAAAGAAAAAACATCCAGTGAGCGGCAGTCCTGTGGGCGGAAATGCCTTGTTGATGCCAGAGGTCAGAGG